ATTTGTAATCATTAATGTCTACTGTAAATCTGTAACATACTAGACATAATTACGAAAACGAGTTGTCATCGCAACATTGAAAAATTTATTTTTAGTAAAATTTACACATTTTCTGTAAATTTACACTTTTTCTGTAAATTTGCACTTTTTTTTATAAATATACACCTTTTCTGTAAATTTATACATTTTCTGTCAACTTTTCTGTAAATTTACCCTTTTTCTGTAAATTTACACTTTTTCTATAAATATACCCTGTTTCTGTAAATTTACACTTTTTCTGATCAATTTCTGCATTAGTGACAAAAACGTTGCGTTATTCTATGAGTAACAGTAAAAAAGTTACTAAAATAAGTAAATAAATAATAAAACAGTTAATAATAATAAGTAAATAAAACTTGTCAAATTAACAATAATTATAGAAGAATTAAAAAATGATAGAACGTTTCCAATCACACAAAGCTATTTCCAAGAAAATGTTAAACTACACATTTAAAAAATAATTTTTACTCAATATAAAAATAAATGACAACCTCAGGTGAACCTCCTTTAAGGTGAACTGGCAGTAAGCATTATTAAAAGATAAGAAGGAAGGATTGCTAAAAAATCATCAAAAAAATGTAGAAGAATATGGGCTAAATAATGAAGTCTAGGGCTTGACTTCCCTAAAATTATCATCGACTGTCATTCCCTAGCTGTCTTTGACGCGGTTTTTTTTTTCGATCGTATGGCATAAATATTAGATAAATAATTAAATTTCAATATGAATATTACAAATGTATTTTGTGGAAAATACCTTCTTAGGAAGAATAATATCGTTTATTATAAGACGAAAAACGAAAATAAGGTATCCGCATTTATAAAGATCGGGTACCATTTAACTACCGAAAAATTATTTACAGAGGATTGACTTGACATCGAAACATTTGTTTACTTAAAAATCTACAAAACACTTAATCTTATCTTTCAACAGAAATCTAAAACTACGTTAATTTTCCCTTCAGTCGAGTGACAGCATAAGCCGGAATCTACCGGGTTCGCATGTGTTTTCTTTTAAGAAATCGTTTATACAGGGTCCTGGAAATTCTTTAAAAAAGGTTATTTTTTGGAACATTTTTAGAAGAAATTTGTGCAAGTGCATGTACTAGTGGATGTACTATGGCCTGTTTCAGGAAAATATGTTAACATCTACAATTTTTCAAAAAAAAATTGAGTGGATGGGAATAATTTGTTTAATTTATTACAGGGTGTTCCATCCCTGTAATCCCAGCGATTATCTAGTACATATCCCAGTGATTAATCCCCCCTCTCACACATTCTACATTCTATATGGTTCTATTCCCTGTAGGATTCTATATGCCAATAAAATTGCAATCTGATTTATCTAAAAAGGGCCCTACACGCAACGATCTGCATGCCAAATCGGACAGTTCCGATCTTAGGATCAAATCGATAGCGTTCTTTTCACACTATACGTTCAGATTTAATAAAAGATAATTTCGTGAGACTATAGTCTAGTACATTTCCCGCCAAATTTCCGGTCTGCGCAGTTAAAAATATTTAGCATGTTATAAGTTTACAGATCTCATCTCTTCGATAAAATCTTCATCAAAGTCGTCACTACTGACTACATGTCGAGATTGGGACTGTACAGTTCAAAACTCTCAGATGTCGTTACGTGTGGGACAGTGGCCCTTTTAACAGTTCGTTATCGATCTGATTCAAAATTGTAATTTTAATAGGATTTTCGCCAGTTTTATTAGTCTATACCCGGGACTCTATGAAAGCAAATAAAGCTTCCGGTAATGCAGTATCGTCGAAAACATGGATGTAAAATCCCAAGTCCCCATGCTTTTATATAAATCTTTGAACTTTCCGGGGAAATTCAAAATGAAATGATAAATTCTGAAATTTATTTTTAAGAGTTGTTTATATTTTAAGTAATACTTATGTATAGTTTTACTGTAAATAGCCTGAATTTTCTGTGACATATAAAGGATGATTCACGACCATAGTTCGATAGACCATAGTTTATGGAAAAGCGGTGATATTACCATAAAGGCAGATGGTCTATCTGTCTAAATTATTTTCAGTATTAGAGTGTTGGCATGTCCCTATATCTACACCCCCTGCTTTCTTCGTAAACTACAGATGGAGGTTAGAACAAAAACACTGAATCACCACAATACACCAAAACACGCGCGTTTCGCTAACCATATTAGCATAATAAACAGACGATTAAAACTGTTTGAATTTGTCTCTTTTCTGAGTTGTCTTAGTTTTAAGAATCTGCTGATGATGCTAACATGGTTAGCGAAACGCGAGTCCAGTGTTAAAATAATAGTGTTTTGGTGTATGTATTGAAAAACGGCAAAGAAAAAGTATGTTGCTTTTATCGAGACCTACCAACCCTGAAAATATTTGCATTTATTTAAAACTCGCTATCACTATGTATTTAAGTAGTATAACCATTAATTAATAAGCATTAGGCAGTAAAAAAATTAAGTATTATTTTTAATTATTCCTATTAAAAATTTACTATAAAATATAACTGGTCATATTTCAAAAGCGTCTGAATTGAATTACTATATGCAACAGGTACGTATTTATTACTGTCATTAGTCAGATTTTTTTCCAGCTACCCTGTAACATCGTGTCATGTCCAGAGCACTATTTCAAATCCGCCAAATCTCTCATTAATTTCAATTAAAAGTTTGACCCAGTTCCCCAAATAAAGCTCCGATATAAAAATTCAAGGTCGTATTATAACACTGAGGGATTAAATCATTATTTAAATAGTAATCTTTAAATGGCCAATCTTTGTCGACATCCATTTAAGTATTATTAATTAACAGATCGCTAAATTATTCGATACCATCAGAGAAGAGAATTTATTTGGGTTGAGTTTTTGGCTCCACCGAAAGCTTTAGTAACTTTTATACTACGCAATAAAAAGAAAAACTTAGCCAATGTCAAAATTTGTTAGGGGTGATCCGTTAAGGGTGATTATGTGAACTGTGGGAGGTAAGCCATAAAGTTGACATAAAAGGCATTTCCTTTCTGTGAAGTGCTATTACGTTGTAGATAAAGGCGGAAATTGGCTTGAGCCGAGCGCTGTAATGCTTCGGCCGACACAGAAAAAACAGTAAGGTATTTTCAACAGTAATCTTATTATTGAGAGCAAACCCATTCATACAAACATAGTGCAGAATTTTTATAACCATTTTAGATTAAATCTAGACATATCGCTAAAACTGACAACATTAATGATGTCTGATTAACTATCTTCTAACCTTTTAAAAATGGCTGGGTTTGGTTGCTCGCGCTCAAAATACCGCTCAAAATATAAATCAGCTGCCATTTGCTTATGTTTGTTAGACTCAATATAAAATTCTAACATATTATATTTCTCAAAATATTCAAATTTACTCATTTTTTTATTATTTAAAATACACATACTTCAATCTATTGAAATGAAATGTCCCGCATCCATCAAAGTTATATACCGATCACCATGATAACCGTTTACTTTGTTACTCGGCGCGGCATACTATCCACTAAGTAGATATTTTAAGAAAAATTTGAAATGTTGAGGTTAATAGTGAAAATAAATATAGAGTGTTATATATTTTCGAGAAGCCCATGCCAAGCTGAATAAGAAAATTTAAAAAAACAAAAGTATAGTTAGTATCAAGTATAAGTAAGTAAGTATAAGTAGTATCTGAAAAAAAAATTTTTTTCAAAAAAGTCTGACTACGCCACTGCATTTTACACAGAAAAGTGCCTTTAGAATGTATAATTCATTTTTCCGTGGTTGCTGAAATAAACAAACTATCGAACATCTTCAAAAAGTACAAAATTTGAGAATCCCCCTGTAGCTTCGAAACCGATCAAGATAGCCACGATCCGTCAGCGCCATTGTAATTTTTTCAAAAAAAGAACCCGAGACTGCAGTATCAAAATCTGAATATTTCTCACGGTTTCCTAGATACCCTATAGAAACAACCAAAATGGTCCACCCTGTACACTATGTGTATTTTTGTTTAGCAGATTCACATCTTCATATTTTCCGCAATGGCAGTTTCTTAATTCTCAGCAACATTACATCAACTGCTTGTCTTTGCTACATTGCAAAAGAAGATTCAACAGCCAGCATTCTTCTTTTTCCTGCAAAATTTTTATGTTCTTCTATAAAGCGAAGCAAGACTTCTCTTTATTGCATATTCATACCGATTCCCTCCAGTGCTTAAAAGAAAATTTAATATTACTTACTCCTGCTGGAAAAAAATCTTATTTACCTGTAAATCTGCCATCACTCACTTATCCTCGGAAACCTTTAGAATAAGTTGACCAGAAGGGTTATAACAAAATGTGAATTTACAAGAAACATAAATAAGTATACAAAATTTGAAAGCGTCACTGTCACTATTACGTCCTACTGTCATGCTCTAATCGTGATTATTTTTCGGTTGCTTCGAAACTAAACCGAACGGTTACCGAAAAACGATACAGTACGTAACATTCGACAAATCTATCGTTCGATAGCGAACCGAATAGAATTTTCGGATCCAAAACCGAAAAAAATACAGAATAGGGTCCCGGATTAGCCTTAGCAGCAAGAAAAGACCTTAACCTAAAATAAAGTTTACTTTTTTTAGAATCCAGTTGCAAGCCTCTGAAAAGTGTCAATAAAATAGCCAGCCTTAACGATAAGTAAAGTTATTCTATTATTTCATCATTTTTTTTGGGGGGGCTAATTATTAACTGAAGTTAATATTTCATGCATGCTAATGTTATTAAGCATGATAATCAGAAAAAAAACTACGCCTTTTAATAGTCGTTTTTAAGAGAATCAGTGAATAAAGCTAGACGAAGAGACCTAATTAAAAATAAAAGTTATCGAGCTTCGCTCCATTTAAAAACTTTTTCTTTTCATAACTTCAGATCGCCGACAAATTTCCGTCTAATTAAAAGAAAAACGATTACGTGGAGGAATATCTTACCAGAGCGATTTGTCTTTGTTCTTCCAGAAGCAAATTGACAGCTGTTTGATACTTTCCCCAGAAATTAAAACCCTCAACTTCTAAGCCGGGAGTACGCTCCAGCCATCTTTCCACTAACAAGGCCAAGGACGGCTGGCTTTCGGATTGTATGACCCTTTCTAAAGCTTTCTGCAAAAGAAAAAAACTAATTTTTAAAGTCTTGTTAAGGTATTCAAATATTTAAAGAATTTCGGACTTCCATTGTCTATTTATTCTATCTTACAAAACGTTTCGGTCAAATGTATCAATGACTATTATCAAGAGTAATTTTTTGGAGTTGTTGTAAATATAAATAGTGATCCATAAAAAATGTATCACTAAGCATTCTTCCCAAAAACGCGTTAAAGACGGCTGAGGAATGATAATTCGGCGAGGTCAAGCCCTAGACTAGACGTCATTTACCTAGCCTGTACTCTTCTTTATTTTTTAATTACGCTTACTCCCAGTTGGCCTTAAGAAGCTTGTCATTTATTTTTATACTGAGTAAAAATTATTTTTAAATGTTGTAGTTTAAAATTCGAAAAAAATATATGTTTTATTTCTTTGTAAAGAAATTTGTGTGTTTGTGAACGTTCTATCCTTTTTTAGTCTTTCTTTAATTAACGTTTTGACAAATTTTGTGTCAGTTTTTAATAAATGGCATGTAGAGATTGAATTCCCTAAAATTATTATCGATTGTCATTCCGCAGTCATCTTTGACGCCATTTTTTTATCATACGGTACTAGAGCATAACATTCATCTGGGAAGATATTGGGTGCAGTCAAAAACGTGAGATTATATACTGAGGCCGCAAGCATTGATATGTTTCGTAAGTGGTTTCAATATTGTGACAATTATTTCATATAAGATTCCTTATGAATAACCAGTGCTTCGACCACTTTATGTTGTATTGATGAGACCATTTTTTAAATAATTAAATCATACATTTTTACATAGGTACGCATTTAGAGAGACAAAACATAATTTTTATTCTATAGAAAGAAACCCAACAACTAGTAATTCACTACCATATCAACTAACGGCTGGCTTTCCCTCCTGTATTGTAAAAATAAACTGTTTTGTTTCCCCTTTTTAAATCTAGATTCTAGACTAATACGAGTATACCGTGCTGGTAACTGTTACTTTTGGGTCGGTATTTACATGTGTGGAAGTGAATCGCTTAAGGATCTGTTGCGGCGTTGCCATATTTTTCAGTGATACAAGTACGCGTTTTCCTATCTAAAGGGGGATTCTGACGACTCGTATACTTGCCAAGTACGCAAATATTGGCGTTATAATTGACAAATAATTATTAATTAACAAGGAACCAGCTCACACCGCATGGCAAGTATATCCCAATAAAAAATGTTTCTACAAGTAGACGAGTCTTCAGAATCCGCCTTAATGTAGTAAAATCACAATCGAAAAGCGCTTTTAATTCGTTTTTTTTCGGAAAGATAACTACATAAAATCATTAGATATACGTTTCTGGACATCTATGAAATCGAGTTATAGAATATCGTTAGGGTGACCATTTTATAATAAAAAAACGTCAGTAAGCGTAGCAATTTGAAAACTCAACTTCTTAACATATAACACACGATAACTCAAAAACTACTGTGGACATGGAAACTTTCGTTTTTTTATTTTGAAGTTTGGATCTTTGAAAAGATATTTAAGTGATAAAAATTCAACAAGTTCGTTTCTTTTCCGTCAAAATTTTTTAGAAAACGCGTCAATTTACGTTTAGTGCATAACAATTTTCAGCAATCGTGTAACATCTGTAATAATTTTCACATACTATCTGCCAATAGAATATAGCAGAAAGGTTAAGAAAGTTTTTTAAAAAACTACAATAAATTATTTCTAATAGATTTCGAGATATTAATTTTTGAATTCTAATAGCGCGACCATTGTCTAGCACCAACTGAGCTCAACTTATTTCTACCAAAAGTGGTAAACGTGTGAGCATTTTAGAGTCGTTGTTGAATTTCCAACTTGTATTTAGAAATTTACGAGTTAAAGAAAAATACAACAACAATTCGTTAATAAATAAACAAATAAAGTATAGCGAGATGTAAATAAACCGTGAAGCTGAAAGCTTGATGTACAATATACACCCGTAATTCTTGAGTACCTACTAGATTTTAATATACAAAATTTATCAATTTAAGCGGTTGACCGCGACGAAACTATCTTATATCCTTCCCCGTCTCTTAGCAATGTGCACAGTTACTGGGTTTATTTCATATGTTTGGCAACGTTTTTACTGTTCTCTCTTTGTTCAGTACATTATAAACGCATTGTACTTTTCTTACATACAGAAGTCTCGACCCAAACATAAGCCTTGCCAGCATGAGTATACCTGTTATAACACCGTACATAGATATGCTTATAATAGACACCTTAATTTTTGTGGTAATGTTTCTATATTTATTTTGCCTAATTTGACAGTAAATTGATTTTAATTAGTCACAAAAAGAACAGTATTACAATATTTTATACTCTTAATGAAAATTGTTGACTCTAATTGAAAAAAGTATCAAAACACAAAATGTGTATCAGGAACGCAGGAATTATGCTCAAATACAAATTAGTGTATATATCTAGATATTCTATCTAAGACATTCTAAGAAATAACACAACAAGAAACTGCAGGTCGCAAAACGATCAATGGAACAGAATAGGTTGGTTGAAAAAAATGACCGAAAAAGGTCGTAAAAGAACAGAGTGGATACGAAAAAAGACCCAGGTAATAGAGGTCATCCACAAAATCAAATATCTGAAGTGGCAATGAGTGGTACACCTAGCAAGAAGAACGGACAACAGATGGACCACAAAAATTACAGCATGTTTCTCACGAGGATTTAAGAGACCTAGAAGAAGACCAAACTTGATATTAAGTAATTAGCAGGGATAAATTATTGGGCCCTCATTGGCGGGCGTTGTAATGTACCGCGTATCGCTTTGTAACACGAGCATTCGCTAGTCAATGTCGGGAAATACTCGGCTAACCGAGCGGCTCGCAACCTACAACAACGGTGCTCCACTCGACTGTCAGCTTTTTAGCGAACCTCTTTGTTACATTACAAGTTAGTATAAGTGTGGTAAATGTCCGTATTCCATCACATTTTCTAGTCCTATATTTTTTAATGGCTGAAGAAGTACTGGAGCATAGCAAGCATTTTAAACGAGATGTTCGCCTGTCGATTGCAAACGGAACGCTAGTAGCAGGCAGCGAACAATCGTTACATTATAGTGCTCGGCAAAAGCCAACCTCCACCTTTAGAAATCTTTTATAAGGAATATATAATAAATCCTTTAAAAATAAGGTATTTTACTCAATCTCCTGAACTGACCAATCCAACATACCACCTTTCATTTAATTGAAAAGGATTGTAAGAAACATTCTTCTGATATATGACAGCTACTAACCTTAAACTGGAAAATCCTTTCTTACGAAGAAATGTGACCCAGAAAGTTTTAATGATTTTCCACAAACTGCCGACCAAAAGGAAATAAAGCGCCACTTCTTTAAAAAAGCAGCTCAATTTTTACGAAAACATGTATTTTATTTATTTTCTTATTAAAGTATGATATGAGACGTAGGAAACCGCTCTTTGAAATGTATATACTCGTAAACGGGCCACAGATTATACGATTTATCGTACTACAAGTTGTACAACATCAAATTGTTTCGACCGTTGGATCAATGGTTGGATGGTTAGTGGCTTTGTAGTACTACTTGTAGTAAGACAAAGTCGTATCGTACGGAAGTATGGCATGCAGAAAATCTGTAGTACAACGCAGTAGTATATACGATAGATTTGATGGTTTGTGTGCAAACCCTATGTGTCGCAGACAGATCGTTTACATTTTTCGTTGCACATGGTTAAACAATCTCTTAAAAATGGATACCAACGAGAAGTTTTGGGCGGAATTTATAGAAATTTATCATAATCAACCTTGTTTGTGGGATGTGAAAAGTAAGGAATATCTAAATAAACAAAAAAGAAATGCCAGTTATGATATCCGACTGGAAAAATTAAAAGAAATAAAAGCAGATGCTACAATAGAATTCAAAATGAATGGAAAATAAAACTACTACTTGTTGGTGATTAACATCAAACGGTAGTTTTAGTTAGTGAATAAACGCGGATCCGATCTGTCGTTCCAGCAATTGTATCAACTTGTCGTAAGACATGTAGTACGACGAATCGTATTAATGTGTGGCCCGTTGTAGTTTAAGTTTGTGGACAACAGCGCGTCGAATATGTCGTTCAAACGGTCGAATCAAATTTGTGTTGTACAACCTGCAGTACGATAAATCGTATAATGTGTGGGCCGTTGTAGAGATAATATTTTAAGATTAATACGATAAAAAATAATATGATAAAAAAAAACAAAAGTCCCAATCCCCAAACATAAATTTGGATATCGAATTATTACAGATATTTTAAGTTTCTTGGTTTGTTTCTAATTATGTAATTGTAATCACGTGGTTATTGCTAATTTTAATCTTCTACGATTTTAAAAAAAGGCGTCTGTACTAAAAGTGTTCTCTAATTAGTTATATTTAGACATTTTAAATTGTTTTTTTCCTTTTTTATTTTATTTCAGACGACGGAGAGAAATCCTCCTGAGACGTAAAGCATTTTTCTCAGTTGACAGTCTAAATTCCATTTCAAATCTATGTAACGGTGCTTTACAAAAACTAGACTTTTTAATTTTTTAGATTTCTTTTTATATATGCTTTGTTCTCTTTGCACTTTTTATTCCGGAAAATTTATTTATTTAATACTATTTTTTAAATTAACAATATTTGAGTTTATTTCTAATTGATTTTTGTTTCATAAAGGCTCCCTCAGATGCTCAGTTTTGTCGCTCAAATAATTTCGCAAAGAATGTCTACTGGATTTATGACTATGAAAGGAATTTCAAGAATGCGGACACAATATTGGAGTATGATCAATTTACTACAAAACACATTTAAATAAACAGCAATATAGCATGTTTTATGACTTTATTTCTTTACTTGACTTGTGACACATATTATGACAAATATGTTTCACTGACTTAGCTTCCGGGCCTGAAGATGGGATTTGATTCCCGAAACATGATGCGCAACTTTTTTTAACTACTAAAAATT